GTACAGGTAGAACCCAAACAAATTAGAAATATCTGTAGGATAGACCAGTGTGACTAATTATCAGGTCAAGCAGTGAATGGAGATTTTTTAAATTGGGTATTGTGTTATATGTGTCAGAGTATCTTCTCTTTATATACTGTACATACATTAACCCTTTCACCGTTGGGCATTGCCTTCCAGTTTGCACCTTAGGTAATTGGATTTGTTTGAGACTTGAATGTTTGCAAAAGGTTCCTAAAACCACAAATGGGGTTGGACAAAAATATATAAACACTACATGATTTGCAGGTGTGAAACTGACAACATGCTTCTCCTTGAAAGCACAAGTAACATTCTTTTGCTTACTCTGTGTGATGAGACACCTAGCTGACAGGTGGGAAGCCTCACTTTTGTCATTCACTGCATGCGCTGCTAGTAATACAGAGTCATATCAGAGCTTACTGAGCTTCAAACAGGGAAATTGTCTGTGCCCACTTAGCTGGTGCCTCTGTGACTGAAGTTGCTCATTTATCTATGGTTTCACAAGGTACAGTATCAAAGGTTATGAAGGCATATGCAGTTTCTAGGAAAGCGTCATCTGCTAAGCATAAGCACGGTCGACATGGTCCACTGACCCAAGGAGACAAAAGGACATTACGTAGGATTGTGACCCGGAATAGGAAAACAACTGCTGCAAAAGTGACTGCAGAGCTCAATCTTAGTCTTCCAGAACCCTTAAAGACAAGGGAAATACTGCTCAGGCAACAATCAGCATCAAACCAGAACAGGTGCAGATCTTGGCTCGCCAGCATGTGGGGCAAAAAAGTATTTATTCAGCCACCAATTGTGCAAGTTCTCCCACTTAAAAAGATGAGAGAGGCCTGTAATTGGCATCATAGGTAGACCTCAACTATGAGAGACAAAATGAGAAAAAAATCCAGACAATCACATTGGCTGATTTGGAAAGAATTTATTTGCAAATTATGGTGGAAAATAAGTATTTGGTCAATATCAAAAGTTCATCTCAATACTTTGTTATATATCCTTTGTTGGCAATGACAGAGGTCAAACGTTTCCTGTAAGTCTTCACAAGGTTGGCACACACTGTTGCTGGTATGTTGGCCCATTCCTCCATGCAGATCTCCTCTAGAGCAGTGATGTTTTGGGGCTGTCGCTGGGCAACACGGACTTTCAACTCCCTCCAAAGGTTTTCTATGGGGTTGAGATCTTGAGACTGGCTAGGCCACTCCAGGACATTGAAATGCATCTTACGAAGCCACTCCTTCATTGCCCGGGTGGTATGTTTGGGATCATTGTCATGTTGGAAGACCCAGCCACGTTTCATCTTCAATGCCCTTGCTGATGGAAGGAGGTTTGCACTCAAAATCTCACGATACATGGCCCCATTCATTCTGTCCTGTACATGGATCAGTCGTCCTGGTCCCTTTGCGGAGAAACAGCCCCAAAGCATGATGTTGCCACCCCCATGCTTCACAGTAGGTATGGTGTTCTTTGGATGCAACTCAGCAACTCAGCATTCTCTCTCTTGTGGTTGTGTAGAAGGGAGGTTTTCTGGATATTTCACTTGAACACTAGTGTCCCTCAGGGCTTCAGGAATCATGGGACATTACATATTTTTATGACTAGCATTCAGAGCTGGTCCTTCTGCACTCCGATGTGTGTGTGTGTGTATATATGTACACGCACATGCGTCTACATGTATACTACTATTATATCAGATGTATTGTATGCACATGATTGGGTGCATTGTGCGTCTTGCATGTGTTTGTGTGAGTGCACACACATGTACACACACTATATAGGTTGTATATGTGATATATACTGTATACATGTTGTTCATACTTTTATGGTTCATCTTTGAAGTATCTCCTTTTTCCTATATCATGTTCTTCTTTTCCCATGGGTGTTCTATATTTTGGAAGAACTTTTTTGATACATATCTATCTGAATTTTGTAAGGACTTTATGATTTTAGAATGGACATACTATTTTTGTATTTATGTTTATGTATCTTCATGATGTTTATGGTATTTTTGTATCTATGTATCCTTTTGGGGATGATTGTTTATTTATTTATATGTTTATGATGTATTTCCTTATTTTTATCCAGATTTTATTGTTTTCCTTGTTTTCTTTTCCTTTTTGTTTCCCTTTTTTGACACAATGTTTTTATATGCTCTACACACTTTATAACATTGTATCAGTAGGCGTTTCTCTGAGATTCGAGAATACTGATTAGGACAGGTGTTCTTTATTGATTTATGCCTAGAAAAGACAGCATTTCTGATCTTTGTTATGACTAAGCACGTGATTGTGTGAAACGTGTTAACATCCATGTACATGTCCTGGTGCTTTTGGTGTCCTATGGATCAATAAACTATACGCACGTATTTCATCATCCTACCTGTGTGCGGCCAACCCTTCTTCCTTCCAAAACCCTTGTCGACAAAAACTGTGCGGAGTGAACTCCATAAGCAAACCATTCATGGGCGAGCTACAATTGTGACCAATATTAATGCTCAGAAGAGGAGAGAGTAGTGCAACACCCCAAAATCGTGGACTATCGATTAACAGAGGACTGTAATATGGTCGATGAATTGAGCTTCACACTGTTTCCAACCACTGGACATATTTACATGTGGCGAACACCATCCCAAGCTTATGACCAGGACCCTCTTGGGTCAATGGTAAAGCATAGTGGTGGCACAGTCATGGTTTGAGCAGCCATATTTTGGTATTCTGCAGGATCCATCACCACCTTGATAGGTAGAGTTACTGGCAGTGACTATGTACATATTTTGGCCGACCATGTGCACCCCAGGGTGCAGACATTGTTTCCCGAAGACAGCGCCATTTACCAAGACGATAATGCTCCGATTCACACAGCTGGTGTTGTCAAATTTTGATTTAATGAGCATGCAGACAAAGTCTTGCACCTTCCCTGAAAATCACAGTCGCCAGACCACCAGATATCATAGAGCCACTATGGCCAATTTTGGAAAACAAGGTTCAGGCTTGTCTTCCTCTTTCAGCATCTCTGCGAGAAATGGAGTAATGTTTGCATGAAGAATGGCATCAGATTCCATTATCCACCATCCAAGACTTATATTTGTTAATTCCCAGGAGAACTCAGGCTGTCTTGGATGCCAAAGGCGGTCCAACACCGTATTAAGCAATGATTTTGTTCTTTTACCTGTTGTTTCCATAATTTTGTCAAACCCCCATAGTACTTGCACAGTATGTTGCTATAAAAATACGCTACAAGCAATTTTGGTGCAGCAATTTAGCAGCATTTTAAAATTCTTTTGAAATATAATATACTGTATATAATAAATAGCACACTTGTTTAAATGTAATGCCAAATATGTGCTTTTGTAAATCAGGTAAGCTATACAAGACTGTAAATAAGTGCTTTACATTGAAAAAACTTACCGCTACTACTTCATCAGTTTATATGCTTTGCATTTGCCCCAGCAGTACAACCGCAATACCAAACAATTGAGATGCTGTGTAAAATCTACATAAAAACAGAATGCAATGATTTGCAGATCTCATAAAAAATGTGACAATGAAGATCAAAGACTGTTGAGCAGTTAGAATCCTATATCAGACATAAATGGGGCAATATTCCTCTCCCAAAACTACAGCAACTGGGCTTCTCAGTTCCAAGACATACAGAGTGTTGTTAAAAGAAGAGGGAATGCTACACCATGGTAAACATGGCCCTGCCCAACTTTTTGGAGACGTGTTGCTGCCATCAATTTCAAAATTTCCATATTTGTTTCTCAAAATGATACATTTTTTTTCAGTTTAAGCATTGGCTATGTGTTCTATTGTGAATAAAATATGGGTTTATAAAATTAGCAAATCATTGCATTCTGTTTTTATGTAGATTTTACACAGGGTCCAACTTTCTTGGAATTGGGGTTGTATATTGACTATGTTCATTTCTTTTGCAACCTTTCACTGCTTTAGGCATACTGTAAATTGGAATCATTGACAGGATTGTCACTGTGGATATTGCCAGGTGCCACAAAAAGAGGTCAGTGAGGATCCCCATAAAAATTTGTTATGGGTCCCCATGATATGTAGTTAAACCCGTTTATTTTATAACATTTTACTTTTAACACCATTATTGGCACAAGAGGTGCAGTATACACAAGAAAGTGACAGGTACTCTCTGGACACATCAGTGACATAAATACTGACTCACCAGTAGTCACAAGAAAGGAATGAAAAGAAGCACAGGATGAAACCTTAGAAGCACACAGGAGCTAGGGATATGAAGGACACAGGTTGTAGGCATGTGTAGTTGGTATAAGAAATATTATGTTACACAGTTGTGAGAATAGTTTAACACTTAGGACTATTCAGGATACATGTTCTGTATAAATGCAATACAATTCAAAAATAAATATATAATCTTATTAAATTGACCTTATTTAATCAATGTTTTAGATCAATCTATAAATTACCATTTGATTTTGCTATATTTTATTTAATAAATGGTTTAAATAAACTGGACCAATATACACTATATTGCCAAAAGTATTGCCTTTACAAGCACATGAACTTTAATGGCATCTTAGTCTTAGTCCGTAGGGTTCAATATTGAATTGGCCCACCCTTTGCAGCTACAACAGCTTCAACTCAGAAGCGCATTTGTGAGGTCAGGCACTAATGTCGGATGAGAAGACCTGGCTCACAGTCTCCTCTCTAATTCATCCTAAAGGTGTTCTGTCAGGTTGAGGTTGGGACTTTGTGCAGGCCAGTCTAGTTCCTCCACCCCAAACTTGCTTATCCATGTCTTTATGGACCTTGCATTGTGCACTGGTGTGCAGTCATGATGGAACAGGAAGGGGACATCCCCAAACTGTTCCCACAAAGTTGAGAGCCTGAAATTGTCCAAAATGTCTTGGTATGCTGACGCCTTAAGAGTTTCCTTCATTGGAACTAAGGGACCAAGCCCAACCCCTGAAAAACAACGTCCCACCTCCCCCGAACTTTACACTTGGCACAATGCAGTCAGGCAAGTATCGTTCTCCTGGCAACCGCCAAACCCAGACACGTCCATCAGACAGAGAAACATGATTTGTCACTCCACAGAACACATCTCCATTGCTGTAGAGTCTAGAGGCAGCGTGCTTTACACCACTGCATCCGACGCTTCGCTTTGCACCTGGTGATGTAAGGCTTGGATGCAGCTGCTCAGCCATGGAGACCCATTCCATGAAGCTTTCTATGCACTGTTGTTGTGCTAGTCTGAAGGCTACACGAAGTTTGGAGGTCTTTAGCTATTGACTGTGCAGACGGTTGGCGACTTCTGCGTACTGTGCGCTTCAGCATGCGCTGACCCCGCTCTGTCATTTTACATGGCCTACCACTTTGCAGCTGAGTTGCTGTTGTTATATTACCACTAACAGTTGACCGTAGAGTATTTAGTAGCAGGGAAATTTCACGGATGGACTTATTGCACAGGTGGCAACCTATCACGGTACCACACTTGAATTTACTAAGCTCCTGAGAGCGACCCATTCTTTCACAAATGTTTGTAGAAGCACTCTGCATGCCTAGGTGCTTGATTTTATACACCTGTGGCCATGGAGGTGATTGGAAAACCTGAATCTAGTGATTTGGAGGGGTGTCCCAGTACTGTTGGCAATATAGTGTATGTGAAGCTCTAGGATAGAAAAATAATGCAAAGAGGATGCTTGGACTCAATGTTGCGATTGACCTTCCATACAAAGAAAAAAAAATGTTATAGGAGTAGGTATCCTACATCCTATGAATGTGGGTATCCTCCTGCGCTTAATGTGGAATAACACCACTTTAATTACAGCTGCTGTCACTTAACTCAAACCAATAATTGTAAACACAAAATATCAATATATAGTGAAGCACTATAAATAAATCTAACATACGTGCAATACTCTAGTGCTGTATATTGCTAGCCGTGCCAATATATTAGTGCTCAGTGAACTAAATATAAAATATAATCAATTCAACAAACATATGGTGAAAAAAACATAAGAAATGTGGAAAATTCCAAAACTATTGGTGATAGTGGTTCTGTAAAAGAAAAGGGAAGTATCCCGTGCTGATTAAACCAATATTTATAATAAATATACTGTAATGAAAAAAAAATCATTAAATAACACTTGTGTCATTTAAAGCATAAAGTCCATGCAGGTGTAACTGTGTCAACGTGATCTTCACTCCAATGAAAAAGAAAAAAGATCCTCAAATGGCTGCAATGCCTGCTCACCTCCACACACTGACCCGCACAGGGTCAGAAGGCTTATGTATATCAATATCAGATCCTCTTAGTTCCGCTCCTCATCACAGGGACCATGGAATTGAATAAAGATATCTCCCCAGCGCACCTTATCCACTCCACCTCCACTCAAGGCAACATACATGAGACACAAAGCAAGAATCCTTCCATAGTGCAGTAGTGTTTTTTATTGTAAGTAAATATACTTAATATTGCACTCACATGTATCCCAGAAACAAAACGCCTGTCACCACATACTATGGGTGTACTGCATGGTTTCCTGGGTGTAGCAATATGGCCACTGCATCCTGAAGTGCATCACCTCGTACTGGAAATGGCGCCATTTCCGGTACGAGGTGATCTGGCCAGTAATTCACTTCCTATCTTAAGGAGCAGCGGAGACACCTTTGTACTGTAACATTGGAGAGAGAGTAATGTTAGATGCACTAACAGATGTGAATAGACTTGACTAATTAAATAAATCTGAATTCTTTTTAAGCAGTTACAGCACCACTTTTGGGATAACAGTTTTACAAACATTATGAAAGCTGACCATTGTAAGCACCCCTGTCAGTGTTAAATGTTTTTGCTCAACCTACTAGCTCCCACTTTTGCTGAACAGCTTGGTTTATAAAATGAGGTTGCAAAATAACAGACAGTTTCTTTATTTCAGAAGAGACATTATGGGGTTTATTTACTAAAGCTGGAGAGTCCAAAATCAGACTCCCTTCTGCATAGAAACCAATCAGCTTCCAGGTTTCATTGCCAAAGCTTCATTGAACAAGCTGAGGTTAGAAGCTGATTGGTTTCTATGCAGAAGGGAGTCTGATTTTGGACTCTCCAGCTTTAGTAAATAAACCCCATAATGTCTCTTCTGCAATAAAATACAATTACCTACCTGTTTGCAATCCTCTGCAAAATGTACACGGAGCTGTGTATGCCAGTGCAGTGTCAGTGTGCTGGGATGAATGACTCCCTTCACATATGCAGGAGTGACGCCACCAGCCAATCAAGATGGCCAAAGACCGGCACCCAGAAGAAGCTGGGGAGAAGATGCCGTGAGGGAACTCATGGGATTCAAACCATTGGAGAATAGGTGAGTATTCCTGACTTTAGTTCCACTTTAATTACTTTCTTTGTCATATTTAATAGATTTACTCCCACTTCCTGATTTGTCTGACACTTGTTTTTATTGCTATCTTTGTCCTTGGAGGGTTGGTTTCCCCTTACTTAATTTTGTATTTGACACTTGTCAAATAGAATGTATTGGTAAATCTTACCAACTGGGACATAGACAATAAAAAAACTTGACAGAGTTCTAAATAAATGCTTTGGCTTGTCTTATAGCGTTCTTTGTGATGGAAGAAAAATCCTTTTTGCCCACAAATTATTTAAATGAAACCATGTTTTTCAGGCATGATTAGTTTATTCAATATCATGTTCACCATTTATTTTATTCTGTTTGTTGGCAAATCATTTGTAGTGATATTCTAAATATGTGCTGCTTGGAAGCCAGTAAAGCTATTTACCATATATAGTTGTCTTTTTTCTGCCAGCGGCTGAGCAGCTCTCAGAGGAATAGAAAAATGAACATTTCTAATAAGTATCAGTCAGCTATGTATGAAAAAAGTAGAATCACAGTCTTTGGTTCAAGCAGATTAACAGATCCAAAATTCCAATTTCAGAATTGGCATATATACAGTATACTGTATAGTAAATACTAAGTCAACAAGGACATTTCTTTGGTATAACGGGCTTGTATGAAATTCATAGCACAGAGTGCACTGTAGAGTGGGAGAAAAGAAGTTCATGTGGTTTCAGTTTTATGCAGATCATTTCGGTATTCCTAGACTGCAGTGCATTCCCATAAAACTGCTCCCTAGGGAAGGAAAATGAGAAGATTTAGGCTGGTGTTGAATGGTTTATACGTGTGTGACATCCGAAGAATGTGATGCAATCCAATATTATACAGCCTTTGCACTAAACTATACAAAGCACATTTAAATGGGAATCCATCTCCAGAAGAATGGATAAACTTAAGGATTTTAGCTCCCTTATAACTATTGGTTGACTGTGTGACTCAGCAGATGCTGTATATCATGCATAAATTGTTGCAAAAGCCTTATTGTATGCGGTTGATGGAGAATCAGAATGGAAGGCTGGCATCTACATTTGTTTGTGTTTGGTCAAATCTTTATTTTAAGTGAACCTGTTGGGTTCCTCAACAGGCTAAGCTAATATTACTGTTAATGTGCAGATAATTATTGATACTTGTGTTATTTTTCAAACCTGTTTTATTTTTCATGTGACATAAAGTCAAACAGGAGTCAAGGTCCAGTATACAGCCTGGGCCTGGCAATCAAGGGGCTTCACGGGGACATTGAGCTTGCTAAAAGCTTGCTATACATGCATGCAGACATACAAAGGCCATACATTGGATGTACATACCGGTAAAAAAATTGTCAGTGGTTCTAGATGTGATGCTTTTGGTATATACCCATGCCCTTGACCCACAGCCTGATTCTATCATCTCACCTGACCATAATACTTGACCCTGTTCTTCCCCATAACATCTTAAAATAAACCCCTTCTCCTACCGTAACTTAACTCTAAACTTACTCCCTAATGCTATTTTACATCAAAATCTGCACTTATATTATCATGAAAGGTATCTCTGCTGAAAAAATCCTGAACCAAATCTTCTGGTGCAAGTGCTGTTTTTCACCAAAATGTTCTGGGCACTTCACTAATATTGTTAGCTTAACCAGTAATATGACCTGACAGGTTAATATAAAGCAGTACACAAATTCTGTGAAGGAGGCAAAGTGCCCAAACCTTCTAGAGATCTAGGTTTTAGTGCATTCTGGAAATATCAAATTTTACATTTCTCTATGCTTCGATGCTGTTTGAGTGGTGCTGTTGACTTTTAGATGTGTTTAATGTGGTGAGCTCTGTTGTCATTCAGGATTGTAGATAAATGGGTTGATCTCTTAGGGTAAAGATTTTCAGCAGATCACAGTAATTCATGGCCGCGGACAAATATCACTAGGCCTTCTAGCTATTTCATGGACTTTTTTCTACTTTACTTTTGTTGATATTTAAAAAAAATACACCCTCAAATGGGATACTACCCTACCATACCATAAATAAATGTTGGTATACCAAATGATAGCAGGAAACCATGTATCCCCCCTGTCATTGCAATGCCATCCCATATGCCCTTCAGCTATGCGGGGATGCTTCCACACAACTGGTGTCTCTAACAAGAGGCATGGAAATATTTTATTAAATATTATGAGAATTAATTACTAGAACTGTAAATAATTTTGTGTCCATATAACAGGTTATTTCACATCAAGCGAACAGGTATGTTTTTGGGTTTACCAGAGTCAGGGGTAGCAGATTTCCTCTTACATGAACCCCAACATGTCATTGGACATTGGAGAAACTGAATAAATGGGTTTTCATCAGCAGTGTAAATATGTTTTTCTTTGTATGCTCCTCCTCTTAAACCCCCCACCCAGTTTTCAAGGGCATGTGGGTTATCGGCATTGTAGGGGCTGGGGCACCTTTACATTCCCAGCCTCCAGATATTTGTATACTGGCCCTTTATAGCTGACGTGTCAGGCTGGTATTTTAGAGATGAAGGGTCATGTCTTTATTTTAATAAACTTAAACTGGGAGGAAATGTTTCTTAGCAAAAAAAAACTGCAAATATTACTAGCAAATGGAAACCTGGCAAAATGAGTCAGGATTACATCACTGGTAAACAGATTTTTTTTTTTGCTGCTCTCAGTTAAAAAGAACTTATCAGTGCAGAATTGTATAGGAGAACCCCCCCCCCCCCCACACACACACACACACACACACACAAATGGGACTTTTAAGGCATCACCAAAATGAGTAAAAATTACATAAATCTTTATTGAACATAAATAATTATCAGTCATAAAACATTAAACAGGCGGTAATTTACAGATAAGTACAGTAATACCATACAGGATTGTGTCAGCATAACAGAGTTCCTAAATAGCGTCCAACGCGTTTCAGAGTAAGTCTACTCCTTCTTCAAGGTCGAGACTCTGTACATGAAAAATATGGCCTCCAGAAACTGAAACATATGTATTCCAGTCATGCATATATCCCTACCAACGTTCCCCAGAACATCATGATATTTGGAACTATTTTGGTGGCTTTTTGGAAGTATAAAAGTGAGAGTTGG